TGACCGTTGAGGAATTATGACAGATAATTCCCTTCCTCTTTTGCTGCTATTTCCTTGTTTGGCTCTTGCTTCTTGCTTCTTCATACTCCCCCTCAAACTGGAGGTGGGTGATTCAACCAACCCCAGGTTGAACTTCAACACTTGGAACTGTGCACGTGGAAGTGGTTTTGTAAGTAGATCAGCAACTTGGTCCCTACTAGGAATGTATCGAGTGACCAAAGTACCAAGGGCTACTTTTTCCCGAACGAAGTGGTAATCCAGCTCTATGTGTTTCGTGCGGGCATGAAATACAGGATTGATAGACATATGTAAGGCACTAATGTTATCAGAAAAAATTTGAGGAGGATTAGGAAGAGATATTCCAATGTCACGAAGGAGATAAGTGATCCATGTGACCTTAGCTGTGGTAGAAGCCAAAGCTTGGTATTCTGCTTCAACTGTAGACCGAGTGACAGTAGGTTGTTTCTTTGAAGACCATGAAATACAATTTGCCCCAAGAAATACACAATAACCTGTGGTGCTTCTTCTAGTTCTTAGACAACCAGCCCAATCTGCATCACAAAAACCCGTTAATGATAATGTGCTATGAGAAGAGAACCGTAGGCCATGATGCATAGTCCCCTTGATGTACCGCAAAATGTGTTTAACTTGACGAAGATGAGTGAGAGTCGGTTGTTGCATGAATTGACAAACTTTATTCACAGCATGACGAATATCAAGTCTGGTTATTGTTAAATATTGAAGTGCCCTAACAAGTTGTCTATAATCCTAGGCATTCACGAGCTCATTATCCCTCAAACTGGTTGTATCTTTAATAGCCATAGGGGTAGCAATAGCAGAGGCTTCAAGCATGGAGGCTCGGCAGAGGATGTCTTTGGCATATTTGGCTTGTGACAAGAAAATGCCTCCTGGAAACTTATTTACTTCAATTCCCAGAAAATAATTAAGGGATCCCAAACCCTTGAGTGCAAACTTGCTGCTCAAATTGCTAATGACTTCTTGAAGTAGTTGCAATGAACTGGCTGTGAGAACAATGTCATCTACATATAACAAGAGCAGTATAGTATCTTGACCTTTATGAAGAATAAACAGAGAAGAATCTGCTCTACTACAATAGAACCCAATTTGGAAGAGTTGAATAGTAAATGTATCAAACCATGCCCTTGGAGCCTACTTTAGACCATAGATCGATTTGTTGAGTTCGCAAACATGATTGGGATGAATAGGATCTTCAAAGCCAGGTGGTTGACTCATGTACACTTCCTCTTTGAGTTTGCCGTGAAGGAATGCGTTCTTTACATCCAGCTGTTTAAGTGGCCATGATAGAGTAGTAGCAAGAGCAATAACCAATCGCAAAGTTGTTGGTTTTAGAACTGGACTAAAGGTCTCATCGAAGTCCAACCTGGGCACTTGAGAGTATCCTCGTGCTACTAGCCTTGCTTTAAACCTTTCAATACTTCCATCAGGATGTAGTTTGGTCTTGAACACCCATTTTGAGCCGACAATGTTTGTTTGAGGTGAAGGTGAAGGAACCAGAGTCCATGTATTATTGTTGTGAAGTGCTTCTAGCTCTTCTTTCATTGCATCGACCCAATGTGGAAGTTTAAGTGCTTGCTTGACAGTTTTAGGTTCTTGAGCATTCAAACCTCACTATTTAACATAGAGTTATTAGTAGTCATATTATGAATAGATTTTTGAAACACAATTTGAACATGTCCAGTATGCTTTCCTGATTTTGCCCTAGTCACCATGGGATGAACAGATGTGGAAGTAGCATTATGAGCAGGTGGTAAAACTCCCCCATGATGTGAGCGAGATGTTTCCGATACTAGACATGGTTGTAAAGGATTGGCCCCCTCTTTACTAGCATGAGGTAGTGACGAGCTTGCTACCTCATTTTCTTGAGCATTAATTGTGCTAGGTGGAGAATCCGATTCTTCTTCTTGAATCTGTATTGCTACGGGTAAGCCTTGTTGGGAGTCCAAATCATTATGTTTTGCCCATGAATTGGCTTCATTTACTGTTATTACTCGTGTATCAATAGATACTGCATTAGTTTCTTCATCTATGACACTAATGTGCTGTTTAGAGACAGGGACAGAGGTAATCTCATCCAATTTTCTTGAGGGTTGCAGGTTTGATGGGGCTTTTGTGCACTCATCACAGTCTAGATATTTGCAAAGTTCTTCTCCTATGCTAACATTACTTGAAAGACATGAAAGATTAAAGTATGGAAGAAAATTTTCATCAAAAACATGTCGTGATATATATACACGTTGAGTAGAAGGATGCAAACATTTATATCCCTTGTGAATTGGACTGTAACCAATGAAGACACAAGGCAGAGACCTTGGCTGAAGCTTATTAGAAGCATAGTCTCTGAGGTAAGGAAAACATTGGCATCCAAACACTTTGATCATAGAATAGTCGGAACCTTACCATAGAGAATAAAATAAGGACTTTTGTTCTTTAAAACAGGTGTAGGCATTCTATTAATAAGAAAAACAATAGTGGAAAGCTTTCAACCCAATAGCGTGGTGGCATATTAGCATGGAGCAACATTGTCAAACCTGTCTCAACTATATGCTTGTGTTTTCTTTCTACAATTCCATTTTGCTCAGGAGTTCCGAGACATGATACTTGTTATTTGATGCCACATTCAAGTACGTAATTGACAAAGGCTTTGCTTGAAAACTCACCACCACCATCACTTTGAAAAACCTATATGTTTTGATCAAATTGGTTTACTATCATTTTTTTGAAATTTCTAAAACACACCAAAAAAGTTAGATTTCTTATGAAGGGGATAAAACCAAGTATATCTACTATAGTCATCTATGAAGATAACATAATAAACAAATTGATGAGTAGATTGAACTGGGGAAGGTCCCCATAAATCACAATGCA